TATATATATTTCCCGTTACTGTAACTAAGAAATCTACAGAATTCAAATGCATAATAAAAGGAACATCGGTCAGCTCATCAAATAAAATCTCTCGCTAGATCTTCTGTGGATGCTTCAGGGCCGTGACATTAAATGTACTGCAGATTAACTGTATCAGATCAAGAGTCCTGTCCTTTGCAATGCCCCAGTCAACAGGCATTTTCAAGATTCCTAAAATAAAAATAAAAACTGCTCACATTATGGCTACAAAGGTCACACAAGAATAGATAAAAATGTGTCCTTTCAAAGTCGGTGGTTAAGAGCATTGCAGCTCAGCTCTAGTCACATTTTGCCTATGATACACAAGAAAAAAGTGGCATCAAGAACCATAAAAGTACTTGTGCTAATTATCATTATCATTGCATTATCGCTCATGGTACTTTTAAGGAAAATTTCAGTGTATGCAAATATTGCAAATCCTACATATCTTAATGCAAATGCAGTAACATTGTATACTGTGCTTAAAAATGCAAAAATGCAAGGATTATTAATTCACAAACAGATGTCTGTTTTTCTCAAAACTGTACATTATGAAGTTTTGTCATGAATAAAAAAAAATCATCTTGAAATCATATATTATATACAAGCTTTACTTCATTGATTTGCTATATATGTCAATCTTCCATAGCTATTTCTGACTCCATAAAACTGTCGTGAGTACTTTAAATGCTAGAAACAATCAGCACTCAGCCCTCACAAAAATGAAAATGTATAAATTAAATAAAATATACATTCTTAAACTTTAATAAAGAAATCATTCAAAAAAATAAATAAAATYAAAACATTTTCAAACCTTCATCAGCTTAGGTTTGGCAGTGCGTGTTTTAGATAATCACAAGGATTACATTGACAGAAAACAATCATGACCCAAATCAAACAAAACTAAACACAAGATTTTCTGTAACGAGAAAAACACTTTTTATGCATTTCATGATTTGAAGAAATTTATAGTATGCAGAAGTGACAAATTAAAGGTTTGTTTAGTACAAGTAAGGAAGCAAGCAAAAACTCAGGGAATGACAAATATTCAACTCAACAGGGATAATATAGCATAGTTAAATTATCAAAGATGACACTGCATTAAAATGTAAACATAGGAATGTGATGATAGTAGTATCACACTTTCTAAAAAACATGGTACTTTGATCAAACAAAAGAAATGAGGCAAACATCAAGGTAAAGTGACTTTTTATGTAACCCCTAGCCATCTGGAGTATAACCAAACCGTATGTGAGGCATAATGCAGTTTTATTTACATCAAAAGCTCAGTAAATCTGTTGCGGAGAAACATAAAACCAGACAACTGTCAAAACTGATTGTCACTGGGTTGTTGCCAGGTCTGCTGTGATGACACACAATGATTCACGGTGGCTGGTTTCTGATACAATTCCTGAGCACAAAGTCATATTGTTATTCTGCTCAGATGAGTTTGAAATGTTGTATGCATGGTTGGAGTCATCATTTGAACAAAACAAAAGACAGTTTTGCTAATTTGTTGTCCCTATAGCTGTAAATAGGTGAGTAATTTGTATGTCAAGGATAAAAACAGCATCACTACTTACTTTCTTGAAATGTATAATGATCATCATATCTTCACCCATGGATGTTGGCAAAATAACCTGTAATGTTACTGATTCGATTTTTAATGTATTCATTTTTAATAAGAATAAAGTCACACATACCTATTTCAGAGTTTTATTTATTTGATATTAGAAAATGATCATAGCCTTGTGTTGATGCTCTTTTCTGTGAGAAGAAAATAAAACTGAAGGTTAGTCACTGAATATTGTCAATGTATTTAGTGTGTGTGAATTCTCATCACTGTTTTATTCATGAGCTTTTTAAGAAAAACGACCTCCAGGCAGTGACTGATGTGATACGAGCAGTCAGTCAATATAAACCAATCAACCTCAATGTTCAAGCCATAGTTTGAACATTGAGGGACGTTGGAAAATATTGATTATGCCATTAAGATGCCCGGCTTTGTAGAGAAACCTTGTGGATTTTTTTATTTATTTCATTTATTTATTTATTTTTATTTTTTTCAAATTCA